TCTTCGTCATATAGTGAGTTTTAATGATGTTTTGGTAGCGATTAGATAATAAAAAAAATTTCTAAATTCATAGGACGTTGGACCAGAGTACACAAAATATGTTGCCGTTGGTATACTTTGTATACTTTCTGGGTCACTTTGCGTTTTCCTACCTGAGACGAGAAACCGGCCCTTACCACCCGATATAAAGACCGCTTCTGACAACTTCTCCGTCGATCTCAGGGATAGAGAGGAGCTCATGAGGTTGGTGCTTGTTTGAGAAACAAAGTTACGACGGAGGATTAGTAAAAAAAAAGGAATAGAAAAAGGTTCTGAACTCGTCTGGCCTTCGTTTTGCTGCAAATAAAAAAGAGATATCCAAGAAAAGGAACCCAAACCATTGCATTTTCCCCAACAGGCAAGAAAAATGTAAATTGTAAAATAAAGGTGCTGCAACTTTCCTTTTTGGGATATAATGTCAACACGGTAGGTAGTGAATGTATATATGGTGAATCCTTTTAGAGAACAAGAACTGGACGAAGATGATCACGAGAGTGAGAAAACGCCCTACATTTTCCATGAAGAATGAAACTAGTATAGATTACTTGCTTTAATCAGCTTAAATCCCTTTAATAAATTGAACATGAACATCTTGTAAAGAAAAGTGAACATCTTGTAAAGAAAAGACAATTCCAAGCTCATACTGCATATTTTAATCGGAATGTATCGAACCTGAAAAGACATTGCTGTTACAGTAGTGGAAGAGATGCGTAACGGAAAGGACATATTACTAAGGGATGTAATTGTAAATGTTCTGAATGACCTGACGTTACCAAGTCACGTGCAATGCCTCCGTCATTCATGAACCTCATTCAGCACATGGCTTTCACGATTTCATAACTGTAAATCATGCACCATCCGCGCAAACAGCAGGGCAGCGTGGTGCGGTGGAAGCACCTGGCGGCTATCAAGCCGTGAGGTCAATGGATCGAAACCATCAGCTGCCGTCCATTTCCATAAAAGCAAGGGGTGAGTTGTCAGACCGGCAGCATGGTACAAATCATCTTCTGCATACAGAAAAGATTTTCTTATTGTTGGTACACTCAAAGGCTGATGACCTCGCACGGTTACCTGGGACGGATTCGATAACTGCAGTACGAAGTCACGTCCATGCGTTATACGCAGGCGCTAAATTTAGTGGTGGGTCCGAGCAGCTACTGTCGATCATTCTGGGCCATAAGATAAGTACGTACCATGCATACTAGGTAGAACTTTTGATAGGGAAGTAGAGTTGTTGGCTAGAATGTCCCCGTTTGAACAGGGATTCATTTTAGAATAAAAAAGAACAAAGCGAATAAATGTAAGGATAAAAATTTGTTTCTTCTATGATACCGGAGGTCACTGTGTTCACCCTTAAGGAATATGTTGTGAATTCATCGTTATTTGAGCATCGCATATGAGGATCGCATATGTCCTTGGACGTGCGTGTTGGTATGTAATTGTCTGGCCCAGGCCCTCATGGTCCACATGTCGCTTCTCTGGATATCCTGCAATCATACACTACATACTTGCCCCTGGGAAGTATGTAGAGGTCTTGCTATAACACATTTTGACATGAAGGTCTCTATAAGGTATTCGATGAGGAAAAACATAAGCAAATACCATGTGGCCATGTGCTTCGTGAACAGTGAGCTTTCCTGTGCTGGCTGCTAGTCTAACTCGTTGGCAAAACATTTCCACCTATTCTTATATAACAGCATTATTTCTGTATCAAGATTTGATCAAGTTTCTACACTTCATAGACGAATGGTTCTTTCGTGGGGCACGCAGGTTTTCGTTTTACTCTTTATTGATCATTCTGGAAAGTCGGTGTATTGTTGTTTGGGTGCTTCCTTTGACAAGGTTTTATAATCATATTCGATAATTTATGGAGGC